GATCAAATAAATCATTCTTTGATTTGAATTTGATCAAATCAAATATTCAAATATCAAATCAAATTGCGGAACCCTAACCATGATCATATGTACAAATGACCAGTAGTCAAATGGCATTTAATTATATTTATATGACTTTTGATCATATAACTAATATGATTATCAGTCATAATTTAATAGTCATTAGTCATATGACTTTATTAATAAAATCTCGTACTATATACTGTATGTTAATCATATATCGCAATTTATTTCAATCACATTTTCAGTTTCAAACATATTGTATTTCACATTTCATTTAAAAATGACAAGGCAGCAACATAATTTTCAATCACATTTTACATTAATAAAAAATCCTAATAATTTTACAAATGCTTTAGCTATATGTAATTATTGTATAACTAAATATGGTGATATAAGAGCAGTTCAAATTAAACCAGAATATTATACTGTAAATCATGCACGCCTTTGTCGTAATCATTTAGCAAAATATCCAAATTTTTGTGAATATGTTGATGATGAAGAAGTGCAAAAAATTCTAGCTTTATCAGTTCTAGAAGATAAAAAAAACGTAAAAAACAAAGCAATGATGATGATGATGATGATGATATTTTGAACTTTATTTTATATGCTTGATTTTATATTTATTAATTAACTAATTTTAGTATTATAGAAGAAAATAATGCTTCTAAACGATGAAGACTTTCAATAGCTTCCTCATCTATATCACAATTTTCTTCAAATCAATCATCAATAACTAATTTTTATCATTGATCACTATCAACAAATGATTTTTCTTTATTTGAGATACTATTACTTCGTCTAATTGTATCAAATAGTTTACCTTTTACATTTGTTGAAAATGAAGAAACTATCACCATTTTTCAATTCCTTGTATTTGGAATTAAATTACCAAAACAAAAAACTATAAGTGAAAAGGTATTAACTAAATGCTCTGAAACATTACAAGAAAATATAATTAAAATTACTAAAACAGATCAGGATGGTGTAACTAAGGTTGCTTATCTAAACTCATTTTGGATTTGGCAAAATAGTAAAACCTTTAGTTTTGCTAAATTTTTACTAAGTGTTTAATATAGTTTCGCTATTTTTATAAGCTTTAATATAGTTTTACCTTTTTTCAAATTTCGCAGATTTTTTAATAAGGTTTTAATATAATTTAA